TTTTAGGGGTGTGAGTGAGGGTGCGGCCAGTGGCAGAGCTGTTCTGAGAAATTTTATGTGATTTTACTAAGAGAAATGTTAGCAACTTGAATGTAATTTATTAGAATAGCAATGTATTTTATTTACACAGACTGATTTCTAAACATTTATTGTAGTTCAAAGACACGTTACTGTGAGTATTATTGTTGTGAAGCTCTGATATATAATCAAACACATCAACAATATGGAGCTTCCAGAAAAGAGGGACTGTCCCTCCCAAATAGGGACGTTTTGGAGTTATGTAAACATATTGTTCAAAGTGGCAGCGCTAGATAATCCTGTGGAACATATGGATGTGTCATTAAAAACCACAGGCTTCTGAGAATTGCCAGGTTCACCCATGGAAATGGACTACAGAATACAATTGCAATAGCAGAGAAAAGGTGAGTCTGCTTGTGACTATACTCTGCATTATGCATGCAATCCACATCTATACACAAAAAAAGGTCCTAACACGTAAAGGGAAGCCTTTGAAAGGACCCTAAACCACAGAAATGTTCATTAAAGAAGACAGATGATGCACTAAAAACTGATTTTTTTTTCTTCTTCTTCTTCTTCCTAATCCCACATAGCCTCTGCTGAAATATTTCCACCTGCCAAATAAAAAATTGTTGCTGCTGGTGGCACACATTTTTCATATTGAAACAGCCCAGCAGGGATTACTACCACCAAGCCAGCCTGCCCCCAAGCTCAAGAATAAGTGTCTAAAATAGGATTATGATTAGAAACACTTTGTTCTGCTATCTCCCCCCTCCCCGCAACACTGCAGGCTAGGTGTATCTTTTTATAGATCAAGAAAATCAATATAGCTATTTTTGCCATAATGTATATAAATTTACAGCCGTACAACACAGAAAACAAACAAATACAAAAGGTTTGGAATTTACATTCTAAAAACTGAGGGAGTTTGTACACCAAGCCATGAAATGTAATGAACTGAAAACCAAATGACAAAATATAGGTTAAAATATCCAGGATTATAGCTAGGTGGACAATTTCCCCCCAAAATATTTTGGCTAAAAGTTGTAATTCAGATTTAAGTTCACTCGTGAATAGACCTCTAGAATAAAATATATATATATATATAGCACAACAAAATAAGGTCAATATATTAAAGGGGCATGCTTCACTTCACTTGACAATTATATTTTTAAACCAGGGAGCAAATAATTAGAAACTTGGTCAAGATGCATTGTTGGGCACACCTCTCAGCTAAGGGACTTTCTTCAGCCACCCCCCTCTTTTCCATTCATCACAGGATCAGACCAGTCCACTATTGACAGAAACAGGGCATTATTGTGAAGTAGCAGGAGAGAGAAACTCAACACCAAAATCTGCTCTGCATAAATAATACTGTTCTTCTCCCACTGTCAGGAGGTTGACCTTCCAAATTCACACGTGTAAATCTGTCAAGCATTCCCAATGCACTTTTCTAGCATTCCTAGGGATAGAACACTGACTGAGTAGAGAAGGCCCCCCCGCACCCATTCCGGTAACCCTCTATTAAGTCCTCTCCCTTGTGGCTCTAATTCTCAGTTAGTGAGTCAGAGTGGAGCTGTTGGGATTCCCAGCATGCACTCTGACACAATTTTGAACGCAGGAAACGAGAAGGAGAGAATATGACAGAGGGTTACCAAGAGGGGTGCAGAGGGTCACATATCACAACTGGAACACTAGGGAAGGAAGGGCCATGATTTCCTGTCGTGCAAGGGATTGAGGCAGGCTTCTTTTGGATCCAAACACACCGTGGTCCGGGGAAGGCAGTGCACTATGAGAGCACAAGAGAGAGCTGGACTGAGAGAGTGGGTAAGTGTGTCTACGAATGTGTGTGTGTAAGAGTGAAAGGCACACAAAAAAGCCTGGGGAAGGTGGCAATGACATAGAGGCTGAGAAGGCGGCAAATGTGACACACACTGAGGGGCTGGAGAAGGGGAGAATGATACAAAGACGGCTGAAGATGGGGACAATGATACACAGAGAAGTTGGAGAAAGGGACCATGACACACTGAGGGGGTAGGGCACAATGACAGAGAGGGGCTGAAAAGGGAACAAATATGATACACACAGGGGGGCTGGAGAAGGGGACCATGACACAGAAAGGGGCTTCAAAGGGGACAATAAAGCACACAGAGGGGTTTGGGGAAAGTAAGAAATACAAAGGTGGAACGTAAGAGACACACAAGGGGTGGTGTGAGACATAAAGGGGGAAATAGGAGATTGAGACACAGGTGAAGTTGCATTTTGTGGGTGGGGTTGTCAAATGCATTTTGTCTGACTAGTCAAAATGCTTACACTGGCCCTGAGTATTGTATATATTGGTGCATTCTCTTCTCCTTCTGAGTCAATGTTCTCTTCATTCACTTACAGTGTTGCAGGTTCTTGCTCCTATAATTTGGCCTTGGCTTCTACATTTTGGGAAAATGTATTAATCCCTCCAGTACACATTACATTTTCTGTTTGATGTTCACATATACTGGTATTTTTTTTCATCTCAAGCTTCAGTGTTTTCTACATTTATTTTGCCTTTTAATACCTTACATGAGATGATCTCTTTAATTCTCTGCTTCGTTAATCTGCTTAAATTTGCACTAATGCAATACAAGAGTAAATTTTATTAATTTTCACAGCAGCTATTTTGGTTTCGAGCATCAAAAAAAAAACTAGAACAAATGCATTTTTTTTATAATGGTGATACTTATTCATAAATATAAGTAGGCATGACAACCTTTATAGTTCTAACAATGGATATATTTATTGTATTGCTGAAATACACACTATGGTTCTGGGAAACACGTCTGCATTGTAGATACTGAAAAACAGCAGGAAAATAAAGCGCAGTTCGTTAACAATGTATTTATCACTCTCTTGCTTAATAAACAGTCCATGGCATTCACAGCTGGTGGTGTAATGCACCTGAAACAAATAAACACGTGGGATTTATTCAAAAACCAAAAAAACAACATCGTGAAAATATGTGTAAGGCACTTTTTTTCAGGTTATACTATCAAATTTAATATAAACAATAGCTGCACGAGTGTAACAAAAACCTCAATATGTGATGTGCTCACAATATTCTTAAAATAAAAATACATTATATGCCATACAGTTGTGCTCATAAGTTTGCATACTCTTGGAGAATTGGTAATATATGTACCATTTTTAAAGAAAACACAAGTGAGCAGGCAAAACACATTTCTTTTATATCTTATGGGATTCATATTCAACTGTAGGTTATAACAGAATGGCACAATCCTAAAACAAAACATGTCAACAAAGAAATAAATGAAATGACCCCTGTTCAAAAGTCTGCATACCCTTTGTTCTTAATACTGTGTATTGCCCCCTTTAGCATCAATGACAGCGTGCAGTCTTTTGTACTCATTGTCTATGCAGCTCATTTTTGTTCATGTATCATCGTATTGTGCACCTTGAAACAACCACGCTGTCTTTTTCTCGAGCAGCCTGTTTTTTTCCTTGCATCCCGGACAATTCTTCTAGCGGTTGTGGCTGAAAGCTTTCTTGGTCTACCTGACCTTGGCTTGGTATCAAGAGATCCCCACATTTTCCACTTCTTATTAAATGATTGAAGAGTACTGACTGGCATTTTCAAGGCTTTGGATATCTTTCTATATCCTTTCCTATCTTTATAAAGTTCCATTACCTTGTTACGCAGGTCTTTTTACAGTTCTGTTCTGCCCCCATGGCTCAGTGTCTAGCCTGCTCAGTGCATCCACATGAGAGCTAACAAACTCATTGACTATTTATAAACAGACACTAACTGCAATTTAAAAAGCCACAGGTGTGGGACATGAACCTTTTAATTGTCATTTTAACTTGTGTGTGTGTCATCTTGTGTGTCTGTAACAAGGCCAAACATTAAAGAGTATGTAAACTTTGATCAGGGCCATTTGGGTGATTTCTGTTATCATTATGATGTAAAAAGGAGCTAAACAACTATGTGATAATAAATGGCTTTATATGATCACTTCCCTATAATAAAAGAGATTTTTTTTTGTTTTGCACGATCAGTCATATTTTCAAAATCTATGCCAGAATTTCACAATTTCTGCCAGGGTATGCAAACTTTTGAACACAACTGTATTTAAAGGATCACTATAGGGTCAAGAACAGAAACATGTATTCCTGACCCTATAGTGTTAAAATCACCATTTAGGTGGCTTGCCCCTCCCTCAACCCTCTGAAAAGGTAAGAAAACTTACCTTATTTCCAGCGCCACGTGGGTATGCCCGCTCTGTCCCCACCCCCAAAACCACCTCCTTGCTGACATCAGAATCTTGGATTTCAGCCAATCCAATGCTTTCCCACAGGGAAATGAATGCATCTCTATGAGGAAAGTTCATGCAGAGCATGGAGAAACTGAACCGCGGTGCTGCACAGACCCAGGAAGCACATCCAGTGACCATCTTTGTAGTGGCAACTTGAAGTATCCCTAGGGGGCAATGTAAACACTGTCTTTTCTCTGAAAAGGCAATGTTTGCATGAAAATGCCTGAAAGCAATGACTACTCACCAGAACAAATATATTTAGCTGTAGTTGTTCTGTAGTGTTCCTTTAATTCTTGTGAACTTGCAAAATACAAAACTTAAATAGTGCAGAAAATCCAAACAATATTTTAAAATATAAAAAAACTCCTTAGTGAATAAACTGCTTTGGTAACAAACTCACATGACGCTTTTAGTGCTCTTAAGTCCGTGCAATATGCAGTATGTAGGGAGGACAATGCAATATCTTCAAACTAAAATAGAAGAACATGTTAGAAGCATTAATAATTGTTTTGAGAAGCATCCACTTTCAGCACATTTTGTAAAAGTAATAAAAATCCATGCAACACGGGGCGTGGCCTGGGCTCCGATGAACATGGCCGCCTAAGCGCTGAACTCCGCTCCACGACAGCACACAGAACGGAGCAACTCACTAACAACCCACACGCACTGCCACCAATGGGTCGCACAAAGAGAGGGGACCTACCCCAGACCCCCAGACCTTCCTCTTCGGGGTCGCAAACGGGGCTGATGGACGACTATCTCCATGCACCGGGCGGCCCGGACCCCAGCTCCCCGACATCCAAAATGGCGCCGACCTCGCCAGCATCCACGTGCTCCACTGCCGACACCACTACACTGGCAGATATTGGAGCGGAATTGAAACGCATGGCAATGATGATAGTCACAAAGGATGACCTCACTTACCTAACAAATAACCTACACGAGGCAATTAAAGCTGAAGTGACCGGCCTGAAGGCTGAAATTAAAGCACATGAACACCGCATACAGCAAGTAGAACAGAGGGCACAGACCACTGAAGGCCACTCTGCAGCAACGGACACGGCCCTTAAACGCCAAGGTACACTCATACTGGCCATGAGGCGACAGCTGGAAGACCAGGACAACCGCAGCCGCCGCAACAATATCAGGGTAAGGGGGATACCTGAATCCCCAGAGGGGGAAAACATAGAGGAGATGCTCACCTCCCTATTCTGCATCATCTTAAGGGAGGACACACCAGCACTTATTAAATATGACAGGGCACATAGAGCACTCCGTCCCCGGCCCACGGAAGGGACCCCCAGGGATATAATATGCTGCCTGCATTCCTTTGCCATCAAAGATCTGATCATGAGGAAAGCTAGAACCAGGGCCCACTGGAACTACAGGGGCACAGAGATATCCCTCTACAATGACCTCTCACCCATGACCCTGGAAGCTAGAAGGGCCCTGAGACTGGTCACCACCATCTTAAGGGAGAGAAATATGCAATATAGATGGGGCTACCCATTTAGCATCACGGTCCGCCATAATAATGAATGGGTCTCCGCACGATGGCCAGAAGAAATCCCTCAATTCCTGAACTTGCCGCCAACCCCCATCCCAAACTGGGTGTTCATGCCGCTGGATCCAAGACCACAACCGCAGCGACAAGCAAGGCGATGAAGATGGAATTCTCCGGGCGAAGCTCCGCGACACCAACCAGATCTGAACAACCCAGAGGAATAACCTCCCACCGGACAAACCTACACTGCACCCGTGGACCCCACACTTCCGAGGCAACACAGACAGATGGAGCCCGTGTCGGAGAAGCGCCTGGACGCAAACCTGCACCCCAAGAATCAGGTACTCTGACATTGGGTAGCTAATACATTGACACAAGACTGAAGGAGGGGACACCAGACTTCTCCTTGGGGCAGACCGAACCAAGGGATATCTCACTAGCAAATGGGTCCTCCACAACACAAAAGGGTACTAACAATAACAAAAAAAAAAAAAGGGATGGGTGGGGGGAAATAAAATAGGATAAGGCTACGCAGTTCGACACCAGCTACCGGGAGGAAAGACAAAGCAGGGGAGTAAGACCTTTGGGGAGGGGGGCCGAAGGGGGGAGGAATGGGGACATAGTGATTGGGACCTAGAGATTTCCTGCAGCATTGACTCTCGAGAAGACAAGGAACTAATTCTGTACAGAATGTGTGGCTGATTTTGAGGCCCGAGGCTGCCCCTTACTGTGTAAATGTTGAGAGTAACCTATTCTGAAAGGCAAGACTATGCAATATCACTCTGAGTTGTATATCGGGCCCCCCCCTTACATCAAAGGGCCTGAGATGTACAGGCAGCATACACCCAAAGAGGCCTTTGCAACACACACGACCACAATCCGGCAACCTACCCGAACATCTCACCTACCCCCACCCCCCTGTGCTCCTGACCTGGCCGTCGCGCCCGCCTCGAGTAAACCACCCGACGGTGCAGGGATACCGAACCACAACAAAAACCAAGGCTCAAGCTACGAGATCGGGCTTCCTCGGCCAACTCCCGCGTCCACAAGAGAGCGGGACGCGGACGAGGGACCCCGGTACCCGTCGAGACACCACCCTTGCGCAGAGGTACAGGCAAGATGGCGTACAGACCAGACACGCTAAAAATCATCACGCAAAACTGCAGAGGATTGAATCTCCCAGAACGCAGAACTAATCTTCTGAGGGAACTTCAGAGAGAGAGGGTTGCAATAGCCCTTCTCCAAGAACCTCACTTTCGAGAGGGAGCGGCCCCGATACTCAAGAACAAACACTACCCCACTAACTACTACGGCAACCACCCTACAGCGAAAAAGGCAGGGGTCGCGATCCTGATAGCTGCTCGTCTACAATTCCAGGAACAGGATCGCCTTATAGACCACAACTGCAGATACGCCTTCGTCAAGGGGGATATCGCAGGTCGATGCTACACGTTCGCGACACTATACGTCCCCAACAACAACCAATCTAGATTCCTCAAAAACACACTGAAGGCACTAACAGACTTCACGGAAGGGACCTTGATCGCGGGAGGAGACTTCAATGTCACACTAGATCCTAAAGTAGACTCCTCAATGGGACACAGCAGCATCCCACAGAGAGAAATAAGAACCATACATCACACTCTGAAAACACTTTGCCTGGTAGACTGCTGGCGAACACTGAACCCACTAGACAGAGAATACACCTACTATTCCACAATACACAAAAGATACTCCAGGATAGACTTCCTACTTCTGCAACAAGAAGCTCTAATTAGACTTAGGAGAGCATCCATACACGCCGCAACGTGGTCGGACCACAGACAAGTATCGATGGACCTCGAATCTCCCCTCATAAGACCGATGAAAACGTCGTGGAGACTCAACGACTCCCTTTTAACCGACCTCCCACTGAGGGTCCAAGTCACCGAAACCCTAACGACATACTTCACCGAGAATGAGACAGGAGACGTCCCCGATATGACAGTGTGGGAGGCCCACAAAAGTGTACTCCGGGGCAAGCTTATCCAACTCGCGTCACAACGGAAGAAAGAGGCGGGCGCAATTATGTCAAACATTCTGGACCGGATTCGCACCTTGGAAACACAACACAAACGTCACCAGGTGGAAGATACCTACAAAGAACTATTAGAGGAAAGAAGACGACTGCACGCGCTGCTACTCAAGAGACACCTGAGACAACTCTGTAGATCTAAAGGATTCTTCTACCTCCATGCAAACAAAGGTGGCAAACTCCTCGCGCAAATGCTCAGGGGACAGCAACACCCCTCACAGGTCCACAAATTAAAAACACGCGGAGGCACAACTACCCAACATCCGGAGAAAATCGCCAAGGAATTTCTAACCTACTACTCCTCGCTCTACAATACACATACACAAAGCGTTGACGAAGGCAGACGTATCAAACAAGGCCGCATGGAATGCTTTTTAAGAGAACATCTCCACACGACGGTGACGGCCGAAGACGCAGAAATCATCGACCGCCCGATCACTGAAAATGACATTAAGGCAGCTATCAAAATGACGAAGACAGGACACGCCCCCGGACCCGACGGACTCACGCTAGACTACTACAAACGTTTCCAAGATATACTAGCCCCCAAACTCACAAAGGCGCTCAATGCCATCACCGAGGGACATACATTCCACGCCGAATCATTATCGGCTACGATTACGGTAATCCCAAAACCAGGTAAGGACCCGGAAACCTGTGGCAGCTACAGACCCATCTCCCTATTAAACGTGGACACAAAACTCTTCACCAAAATATTAGCCACCCGACTTAGCAACCTGATGCCAACACTCGTGCACCCTGATCAAACAGGGTTCATACCGGAACGGGAGGCTCGAGATAGCACTCTGAGAGTCCTCGCTATACAACATCTGGCGAGACAACACGGATCCCCACTCCTGCTACTCTCCACGGACGCCGAAAAGGCGTTCGACCGAGTTGACTGGGCATTCTTGAAAACGGTGATACGTCTTTTGGGGTTTAACGACAACATACAGAAATGGATGAGAGCGATTTACAGCACCCCGACAGCAGCGGTACGTGTTAACGGAGCCCTGACGGAGTCCTTCCCAATTTGAAACGGTACAAGGCAGGGTTGCCCCCTGTCCCCGCTATTGTTCGCACTAACATTGGAACCTCTATTGGAGGCAATCCAGCGAAATATTAACATCACGGGCTACACCTGTAAAACCGCCACACACAAAGTTGCCGCGTATGCGGACGACATGTTATTCTTCATTACACGCCCAAGACTCACCCTACCTTGCCTAATGGAAGAATTTGAAAAATACGGACACCTCTCGGGCCTCAAACTTAACTTAAGCAAATGCGAACTGCTCAACATCACGGACCCATTGGGGGAACACAGAGATATAGCCTCGACCTTCCCGTTCCGGTGGTGCCAAACCCAAATGAAATACCTGGGGATATGGGTGATGGCGGACCCCAGCACCATCTACCAGAAAAACTTCCTCCCACTCCTCACGCATATTCAACATGATCTCCGAACATGGAATTATCCACACATCTCATGGTTCGGCCGCATAGTGGTCATCAAAATGAATATACTACCCAGACTACTATATCTGTTCCATACAATCCCAGTGGCATTGCCGACGACCTTTTTCGCGACACTGAAAACCGCATTCCTGACCTATGTCTGGAGAGGATGCAGACCTCGACTAAGATATGAAATACTATGCAGGACCAGGAGACAGGGCGGATTGGCACTCCCAGACCTACGCAAACACCACCAAGCGACAGCCCTACAACGGATACTGGAATGGCACACTAACCCGAGATGCAAACAATGGGTGGCCTTGGACAAAGAATCATGCAGCCCATCCATTTTTGCATCCCTATGGAATCAGAAAACGCCACGGAACAACGATCCCGGCGCACCCTCCCCGGCGAGCCACACCCTCCGCATATGGTCAACAATGAGGAACACAGCGACCATCTCCCCAACACCCAGCCCGATGACCACGCTAACACACAACCAAACACTAGGGGGAGGACTACCGACCAAGGCCTGGGACTTTCTGCAGGGAGCGGACTTCATTCCACTCCACAAAACGCTAACCGCCACTGGACTGACCCCCCTGGAATGCCTAATGGAAGACCCGCCAGCGCCCATGCACAGATTCAGATACTCCCAGCTGACGCATTTCTACCACACCCTCCCGAACAAACAAGAGGTGCACAGAACCCTCACGTGGTTTGAGGACATCTGCGACAAACAAACACCAATTCAGAAACCAACGTCGACGCTCTACCAATACCTAATCACAGATGATCAGCAAGCAACTCGAAGATATAAAGAAAAATGGGAAAGCATCACCGACAAAGTCTTCACCGACGCACAATGGGACAAAATTCTCATCCTTCATCACAAATCTACGATTAGCTCAAAATACCAAGAAATGAACTATAAACTATTGACATTCTGGTACTGAACCCCAGACCTACTCCGCAGAATATTCCCCAACACCTCGGCGACCTGTTGGAGATGTGAGACAGATATCGGAACACTAAAACATATCTGGTGGGACTGCCCCAACATCAAACCGTTCTGGAACCAGATTACGGCTCGCATTAAAAACGTACTAGGGGACACGACGCAATTGTCAATAGACAACACTCTCCTGCATCACATTAAAGACCCGATCTCAAAATATAAACGATCCATCCTACGACACCTTCTCGACGCGGCC